CTCCTTCTCTAGCTCTCTCTCTCTCTCCCTTCTCTAGCTTCTCTCTCTTCTCTCTCTCTCTCTTCCCTCTCTCTCTCTCCTCTCCCTTCTCCCCCTAGCTCTCTCTCTCTCTCTCCCTTCTCTCTCTCCCCTTCTCTCTCTCTCTCCCCTGAAAAGCCAATAAAAATATTTTTCTTCCTCTGAAAAGCTTGACAAAATGTTTAACCAGTGTGATCCTGTTAAACATTTTTTAATTTATTCTTATGCATTAAAATCACAAGATTTAAATCTCAAGATAAATGATCCTGCAAAAATAAGTTCATTGATTAATATTTCACTTGGAGTTTTTCTTTACACATTTGTCTTTCTTTTTCTTCAATTTTTAAAGTGTGTGTGTGTGTGCGCTGCTGATGATTCTGGTAAAGTCAATTGTAAAGAATAAGTTATGCTTAAGTTTTATTGACATTGCCCAACTGATCAAATTTGTTCTTCAAAAACATTGTTTTTTTTTTTTGTTTATACTTCAATAACTGCCTTGTAGGCTACTTGTAATAAAGATACAATTTAGCACACACAAAAAATATTTTTCTTTTTTTTTGTCTTGTCTTGCTTTGATTTGTTTGTTTGTTTTTATGGTTTGTTTGTCAGTCAGATAGGACGTTACTACGGCTGTACATTGATTATTTTGAACCAATTTCCTCATTGAAGACTAAAAAATCTATACACAAATAATATTGAAACAAGACCAAAAGCAGAAAGAAATCAATATTTTTTTTATCCTTGACTTGAGAAGTTCAACTAGAATCTTAATTACAAATTCACTTTTAGGAATGTCTTGCACAGTCCAAAAATTTTGATTTGTGAAATATTGAATTTTATCACAATTCACTTCCAAGAAATTGAAACTCTTTAGCAGTTATATTCACATATTACCTTATATCCTTTTTACTAAATTAACTTTCTGAAAGTTTTTATTTAAATAATACTATAACTATGGATAGTATAAATATGTCTGAATTTTTTTTTCTGAATCAAGAAAAGTATAGATTATATTTTATATAGCAGCCTTTCATTGATACAGGTTTGACTAAAGATAATTTTTTTTTTCTTAAGTTACCTTTATATATAAGAGAAGCATTCCTGGTTCAAATGAATGTAAATATTGTCAAAACTTTTGGGATTTAGTGCTTTTAATTGTGCATTTAGCTGTTGCTGTTTACCAACAGCAGCCTAAATTCATATTAAATTTCATGATCCTGCAGCAAACATGAAACCCAACTCTACCAAATTTTGTCCAAACGTGAACTTGAGAATGGCCAGAAGTATGGACAAAAGCCTTAGGTTCAAAACATTTGAACAATATTTATATTAGATCCAGACTTGTTTTTATATTTAAACAATTATTATTTACATGGTCCAGACTGTTGTCCTCATCTTTATTGCCATATTCACGTTTCAGCTGTAAGAATTGCCTTCAAAATTGTTATTCAATTTAAAAGCACAAAAATCTTTGTCCATCTTATACACTTCCTTAAATTAATATTAAGAACTGACTTTTACATGGATAATTCCTTTTCTTTTCAATTTGGATATGTATTGGGCACTTTTCTGAAAATGTTGATTTATTTTAATATACAAATACATTTAAAATCTTTGAATACATTTTGATTTTAGCAAGTTACAAGCAAATCAAGTAACCCAAGTTTAAATGGACTATCATAGACAGGAATAAAAAGCATGAGCTGAAAACCTTTGGTCACTGAGGTTGGCTTAGAAGACCTGCAAAGTGGAGTGTGAATGATTTTTATCTGGGTCAGTTGTTTGATTTGTTTTTTATGCAGGTTATTTAAAGGCAGAAAATATTTTTAGTTTTTAAGAATTTTTTGGAGAGACTGATATGTCCCTATTAATTAACCCACAGCTAGGGTGAGAAGAGGTGGATTCATACCTTTCCCAAGAGTATTTAACAAACCCAACAGGAATTAAAACTTGGCTCTCCATTACCTATTACACCACTTGCACATCCAAGCTTACAGCAGCTGAAGATAAGCTACAAAATCAAATATCCTCAGCTTGACCACCTGCTGGCTAAAAGGAAATGGAGAAAATCATTAAGTGAAAACTTTAAGATCAAGTGACAATTGGCTGGAAGTTTGGAAGTTCTGGTCAGATTTAGATGAGCAGAGTCACAGCTGAAACAGGCAACACTAGTTTTGAACCAGTTGTGGGAGAGTTGGGATGTAGGGTTCGGTATGTGGGTGGTAGGAGAGAGCCAAATGAAGGGCTGATCTCTTAGTCTGTCATGACAGCCGTTGCAGAAATTGTCCCAAGTATCTTTTATTTATTAGACTGTCAAATGAATCTATGACTAAAAAAAATAAAAACAAATACATTGGAAACCAGATTTGTTTTTTTTTACTGTGGTGACATTTTTCACCTTTTTGTTCCCAGGTATTTCCTAGTTTTTGTGCACACTGATACAGACTAGAATAGAAACACAATGTGGGGTGAATTGTCCAGTCAGTTAAAAACTTGAGAGAACCTCAAGGTGTGCTTACATTAGGTACCTCCACTAATTCACAATACCTAAGGTTTAAAATGAAAGGGCTTTCTTGAAACTTTCCTTTTAGTTTTAATTGAAAACTAAAGGATTAAATTTACTATTTCCAGTAAGCAAAATATTAATTCTGGTGTACTTCATAAATTATATTGATATATATATATATATATATATATATATATATATATATATATATTTTTTTTTTTTTTTTTTTTGTCTTTCATTGCAATGTAATTGTCTTTATTAAAAAGTCTTCCAAAAATAAAATATACTTGTCTGAAACTTTTTGATAAATATTAGCTGATTTAAAGTATAATTAATCTGATTTGAAATAAATATTTATTTTAAGTTTAAAATAACACAAATGAATTTTTAAAACTGTCAGTGTTTTTAACTGAGAGTAGCCATGTTTATATGTTTGACAAATTACAGAAAGGTGGTAAGTTTATTGTTATTCTACAGAAACTTCATGCATAAAACACAATTTATGTGCGTCTTTTCATATAATTTTTAAGTATTCACTAATCTTAAAAATGTTAGAAAATATTCTCTGTAATCTAATTTTAGGAATGTTGACTTTAAATTTATTATAGTCATCACTCTTATTTTTTAATGTTGTATATTGTTGACCATACTTTCAAAAATGGGTACATTTCGATGTATAAACAAAAATATTGAAAATTTTTTTAAAAATCTTGGTTTTCGATGACTGTTATTAAGTTTCCTATTTATGATTAATAAATATAGTTTTCACTTAATCTAAATGCCTGAATTTAATACAGAATTTGAAGATTTAAAACAAAATTTTAAAACGAAAACAATTCTTGTAAAAATTCATCAAAATTTTTTTTTTTTTTTTTTTTTTAAGATAGTGTCCTTAATATATCTTAATTATAAAAGCAATTAAAAACTAATATAAATCTGAAGCTGAAATTTTAATTTCTTTCATTTCATGAAATTAAATAATGTAAAAAAAAAAATTTACCTAGATTTTCTAAAAGAAAAATTTGAGAATAAGTTCTGAAAGTAGCATTAAAATCCGACAATTATTTGATTTTTGCAAGAATTTCCAAATCAATGTGTTTTTTGAAGAAAAAAAAGATTCTAAAACTCCCATAGTAATCTTTGGCTGAATGTTGATGCAAAAAAAAAAAAAAAAAAAATTTTAACCAAAATTTCAAATGTGCTAGAAAGAATTAAAAAAAAAAAAATGTAATAAACTACTTTGGTCTTTCCTCTTAATAACAGAAACATTTTGATGATAAAACTTTGTTTTTATTAAGTTTGGGTCATTTTTCATCATGCTATGCTGGTTTTTATTTTTGTTTTGTTTGTTTTTTTTTAGTGAATTAGTGTTAGTACCAAGTTAACATCAATAAGAAAAAAAGGTCAAGTTTTATTCTTAATGCCTATCTGGTGGTGTCTACAAAACTTCCCCCAGCTATGGAATAAATAGTAGGGTTAACAGAACTATCTAGCCTTGAGTGGTAGCCAGTCTAGGAGAAGAAGAATGTAGTCAAAAACTGGAGAAAGCAATAGAAAGCCACTTCATCTATTTCAAGATGTTATGCCCATAAAGAAAAGAATGCTGTGTAGAGTTACAATCACTTATGTACTGAACGGACATGGCATTTCAAATGCAAACCAGGAATTGAATATATAAAACAGTAACTAATTCTGCTGAGTAAACAACTGTAACTGTTCCAAAAATGCCTTTATTAGGTGAAAACCCTGGGGTCAGGTATAATTTGGAAGCTGAAACCTATTTACCAAAAACACCTGAGATATATCTAGTTCTTATATGCAAACAAGTAAAACAAAAATAAAGATAGACTCTTGGGACCTTTTTTTTATCTTCCTTTCTGATATGGTTTTTCTTTGGTATGCCAAGGTTGAGTTTAAGATATCTCACTTTGATAGAAAATGTTTATCAAAGGTTTTCTGTTGTGTCAGCCCATTTTTCCATGTTTGGGTTCAGGAGCCAAACTGAATTCATTACAATTTTTACTGATCATAGAATGTTTGGAATTTGATTGGTTAACAACATCCACTGAGAAAGCCATGTCGCCCATGAAATGAATTGTCAGTTTTTGTCTTTTTTTCTTTTTCCTCTCTTTCTTTCTTTCTTTCTTTCTTTCTTTTTTCTTTCTTTTTTTTTTCTGTCTGTCTGTCTTTTTTTTTCTCTGTCTGTCTGTCTTTTTTTTCTCTGTCTGTCTGTCTTTTTTTTCTCTGTCTGTCTTTTTTTTTCTCTGTCTGTCTGTCTTTTTTTTTCTGTCTGTCTTTCCCTGTCTGTCTTTCCCTGTCTGTCTTTCCCTGTCTGTCTTTCCCTGTCTGTCTTTCCCTGTCTGTCTTTCCCTGTCTGTCTTTCCCTGTCTGTCTTTCCCTGTCTGTCTTTCCCTGTCTTTTATTATTTTTATTATTTTTGTCTGTCTTTATGATATCTAAACTTCTGTCTTTCCCAATGTTAGTCTTTCCCTGTCTGAAAAAATTCTATGTCTGTCTTTTGTCCTCCAAAATGTCTGTCTTTCCCTGTTCTTATTGGTTGGAATTATGTCTGTCTTTCCCTATCTGTATTGATTGTCTGTCTTTGCCCAAGATGGAAATTCCCTGTCTGTCTTTCCTGTCTTCTTTTCCCTAATCTGTCCATTTAGGTTTATATCTTCCCCCACCTGTCTTTCCCTGTCTGTAATTCCCTGTCTGTCTTTCCCTGTCTGTCTTTCCCTGTCTGTCTTTCCCTGTCTGTCTTTCCCTGTCTGTCTTTCCCTTTCTGTCAATTACTGTCTTGTTTTGTCTGTTAACCCCCTGTCTGCTTTTTATGTTTTGTAATGTTGCACCCTTCCAAAGGGGTTATTTTGACGTGGTTAAACTTAAATATTCAATTTAAGGAAATTAATATGAAGCATATATATTCACATCAAAGGTTTGCTTAGTTCATTTGTCAAAAGGCAAAAAATTCAATATAATATATTTTATATATTTTTTTAATTATTTAGCAAGTTCTTATTGTTGAATTATGGTTAATCGGGAATTCAGATATAAAAAATTTTGATCAATTGTTTCATGGAAAATAAGTAAAATAATCAAAATTAATTCCATCTTTTGAGACGTTCTAATTGATGCACTTAAGTGGTTAGAATTAATCCTAGTACTTTTTCACACCCCAAAATTCTTAGTTTGACCTAAGAACATTACTTTTATAAAATGATTCAAATATCAATTTTCTGTAATTTAATTTATTTTTATTTTTATTTTATTTATTTATTTATTTTTATTTTATTTATTTATTTTTTTTAATCTAAAAAATATTTTTGATTGTTTCAGGTTAATTTCCAAAGTCTTCTTTTAAAGGGTCCCACTTAAATATTCAATTTAAGTATTCTGGAATGAAGTTGAATATTTGGAGGAAAGGTTTGAAAGTTGATTTGTCTAAACACAAATATGATTATTCAATTGGCAATTTATATATATTTTTTTTTTATCTAATTTAATAAATTTTATTGTTGAATTAATGGAAAAGTTCTTCATGCCAAATTTTGATCAATTTTTCATGGAAAATTTTTAAAATAATTTAAATTATAGTTTGTGCATCTTTTGAGAAAAAAAATATGTTCTACATTGTCTTAAGAAATATTGGTTAGATTTAAAATCTCTTAGTGACTCACTACAAAGTTCCTGTTTGAATATGTATTTACCAAACTTTGAAAAAAAATTCAAAATCAATTTTAGGTAATTTAATTTATTTATTTTAATTTTCTATTTTAGGCATTATTTATTTTATTTATTTATTTATTTATTTTTATTTTATTTATTTAACAAATTGTTTTTTTTTTTGACAGTGAGCAACTTTTTAATCTAAAAAAACACTTTTTATATCTTTATTTTGTTTTCATTTTAGCTATTTGTTTTGCTTCCTGCTGTACTGTTTTGTCAGTGGTTCCAAGATTTTGAAGATATTAGAAAAATTCTCTGAAGAATTCATTGAATCAAAACTGAAGTCTTTTGATGAATATACAATTTAGTTTAGAAGTAACATAAAATAGACAGGGAAACATTCTGATGATAGAATAAGGATTCTATAAAATTATCTTTATTATTATTTTTTTTTTTTTTTTTTTTTTTTTTTTTTTTACATCCATTCACCCTAAGCAAACTGATAATGTCACTAAGAAGAAAGGTGCTACCATGAATGAAAAATTTTCGAAGGGACTGAAAACCCAGTCCTAAATGGAGAACAAGATATAAACTTTTTACACATTCAAAAGACTGGGGAGGAGTGTGAACTGGATGATAGACAAACTTATGAATTTTATATGAATAAAAATGAAATTTTACAATGATCTTGTTTTGTTAGGTTTTGTTATTTTTTAAATATATCTAGGGTGGGGTAAATGAGATAACTAGATATGAGCGACTGTATACGCGTAAGCAAATAAGTAATTACCAAATTTAGCCAAGAGGTGTAGACATAATAGTGCTCAATGTGATTAGACAGAGCTAAGAAATATGTTAATAAATAAGTGATATCTTGCGCCTGATGAATTGGGTAACCAACAAAACTCGAGTTGCACATCAAACGTAGGTATATGTGTATTTATTAACACACACACACACACACACACACACGTATATATATATATATATATATATATATATATATATATATATATATATATATATATTATATATATAAAATTTTAAAATTCATTTATTTAATTGAAATTTTCCCTCTCCATTTTTTTGATTTATTTTTTTTATTTATTTTTTATTATTTTTTTATTATTATTTTTTTATTATTATTATTATTTATTATTATTTTTTTTTTTTTTTTTTTTTTTTTTTTTTTTTTTTTGCCAACTTGAAATACTACCAATTAAGCTTCCTGATAAATTCACTTACTTATTTCTTTGGCTACCAATTAAACATGTCTTTCAATAACGTGAATTTGCAAGGGTGATATAATACTTATCAGCCACAGAATTGGCAAACAAAGTTTTGCAAACTGCTTGAGTTCAATTCACACTAATGTCCTTAGAAAAAGCATGAATCTACTTCCTGTACTCTGTTAACATATGAGTGACAGAGACATCTAAGACCTGGGAGATATTTTATAGGGAAAGGAAGGTGTGAGGTTTATTTGCAGACAAATATGTTAATTTAGTAATCTAGGTAGTTTTGTAAAGGACAAAGCAAAGTGAAACAGAGACCCTCTAAACATTAAATGTTAATAGGAAGATTTCATTAGAAATAAAGAAAAGATATTGCTGTGTCATATCCATGTATGGCAGTGAACTAGTCTTCTTTCAGGTGAAGAGCGCTTGAAGTGACAGATGTGGTTCTATATACAGTAGCTGTGAATACCATGATACAGAAAATGAGGAAATGTTGAAATTCCTGGGGTACTTTAAGGAAGGATGGCTTGGAAAACTTAATGCTCACAAGAAGTATTGTGGGAAGAAGTAAAATGGAAATGGTGAGTAATCTGATGAGTTTGGGTAATGGATGACAGAGCGGGAACAAGGAAGGATAAGGAATCAAACTTAGAGCTTCAAAAGACAGGAAGTTGTGGAGAGCCTTGAATGCAAATGTCTTCAAGGGGCACTGTATAAATGATTATGCAGGTACACATATTCATAACACACACACACACACAAAAAAAAGGAAGAATTTGAAGAGTCTATCAAAAGCCAGTATAAAAAATACCTTCTTGATGGCAAATGGAACTTTTACTAAAAAAATATTGAAAAACTGAAAATAAGTATCATTTGTGGTATAGATTGGCAACAAAATCTCATTATTTTGCAGTTGAAATGGCTAGATGTAACTGTAAGTTCTATGCTAACAGTTTCTTCTCTCGCACTTCTTGCCTGTGGAATTCTCTTCCAGTTTCTTGCTTTCCAGTCAGCTTTGCATTTAAATTTGTAAAGGTCAATGTCAATTATCTTCTGTCTTAATTCCTGTTTTTTTTTATTTTCCTCTCTCAGTAACCCTTTGTCTTAGTGGCTTTATTGCTTTGCTTGGGGTGAAATGATTAAAAAAAAGAAATGTAATGATGAAGCCCTTTTGATAGTTATTATATAACTTTGGTGACTGTAGAATAAATAACATAGAATAATTTACTGGATATTCTCTGCAGAAATATGGGTGTGTTGTACATGTTCATTTGTCCTATATGCTGTCATATACAGTAATTAAAATGTATAGACATTTTAATTACAAAAACGTTTTCTAAGTTTGACTACCACAGCTTGAGTTTGAAGTAACTGAAATGAAATTGCTGAAATATGAATTGTGAAGTCAGGTTAACCTTTACAGCTGTTTGTTCTTGTTATGTACAAGAACGTGTTTCTGCTGATAACACGCCTGATTTTTATCATTCTATGTTGTGTGTGTGGATAATTTTGATCATGTTACACAAGATATAGTTTTTGTTTTAACCCTGATATATATATATATATATATATATATATATATATATATATATATATATAGTTTATATTTAGTTTACACATGGAAGAGTTGGAATGGCTGGATTGATTTCAGCCACACTTGTAGCTTGAGTGTTTTATCTCTATCACTCCTCTCCAGTGCAAGACTGTTGTATTTGAATCTAAACTGAAACATGCACATTAACTTTACTATAGTGATAATATATTATTAAGTATAACATTCTGAGGTACTTTTTTTTTTTTTTTTTTTCCCCCCCAAATACTCTCCAAAGAAAGGTTGGTAATGTCTCAAAACAATCTGGGTTTTTCAGGGGGAGGACAACTCTAAAATCTCATCAGATCATTAACATCTGTTTTCTTTAGAGATAAAACAATTGCTCTAAAGAAAATATATTTTCACTGTATATAAAACTTAATTTATCTATGAATTTATAAGACTAAGAATTCATTGTGTTTTTTTTTGGGGGGGGGGAGGGGTTAAACTCAAATGGGTATACTCACCTGACTCAGCTATGGAGTGACAACCAGTGGAATATAAACCATAAATAAGACAATAGGAAACCACTCCACTATCTTTTCCAAGAATGCATGGCAGTTCAGATAATAAAGGAAATTTTATAGCCATTATTACCTATGTTCTAAAAGTTCACAGGATATATTTTTTTAATATCTATTTTTCTTTTTATATATTTTTCTTTTTATATATTTTTCTTTTTATATATTTTTCTTTTATATATTTTTTCTTTTATATATTTTTCTATTTTTTTTTCTACTGCTTTTATCAACTATTTGTATATTTTTCTATTTATATTATTCAAATATTTTTCTATTTATATTTTTCTATTTATATATTTTTAAAACTATTTTTTATTTTGATTTGTAAATTTTTGAGAATAGCAATGATTTATCCAGGTACAGGTTTCACTATTTAAATTATAGTGTTTTTTTTAATTTTTTATTTTAATACTCACTTTAAATATTATAGTCAGGTTTTGCCTGCTCTACTAACCTGTATTCTTCAGGTGTTTCTGGTACTACATAGGGTTTTCTGAATTTTGAATTCCTCGTTATCATTCCATATTTTCTGTGGATAATTTTCATTGTTATACAAGATAATACATTTTTATTTTCTCTTTCTCTTTAATTGAAAACCTGTGAAAGTTTGTATATATCTTAGATTGTGTATCATGGATTGGGGATTAAAGTGTTGACCAAAACACATCTGGTTCTCTGGTAGTTGTGATTTCAATCCTGACGTAGGGTTGTGCTGAAGGTTCTTATATGCACAATAATACAGATGCCTAGAGCAAGTTTTCAGCTACAAAATCGTCTTTTTCTATAGACTCACCACTATTGGC